CTTGTTTTCTTTATATATTGGTGTGTAGCACATCTTCTTGGTACTTATATTGTACTAAGTTCGTGTCTTAAATAATAATAATAATAATAATAATGGTTCTTTTGTGTTCTAACCATTTTCAAACCTGCCCAACCTATGTCTTTTTTATTTAACGATACTCTTCTGGTAAATATGTGGATTACCGTGTTCAAGATCTGTTCCAACTATTTTAGTCAGTTAAAATTAACATTCTCACTGATTACCTTGAACTAATATTGACTGGTCTCACATCGATAATGCAATTAATACATCTGTGGTAAGAGAAAAATTGTAGTCAGCTTTAACTATACATCATTACCAACTGTAACTTAGGTTCAGAAAGAACAAACATCATTTAGACATCATTGAAAACCAGGTATGCACACTCCCTAAGAGTTCCGAACAGCTGTGCAGTGCTTCCTAGTTTCCAATGATCTCCCACCGATGTAGGTTCTTGACGAAATCCATTTTGGGAATAATTATGTTACATCACGCTATGTTTTACTCTTACAATCAATATCTAATATCTTTGGAATTCAGACTGCCTAGTGAACCTGTATTCATGATTCTACAAGTGTTATTAAACTAAGAGAACACTTATTACAAAAGTACTACAATATAGTGAATTCGATGTCCCCAACCGATAGCTGCTACCTTGATGTGGTGATCGGCTTTGTATATCGCAATGACCCAACAGGATACACTGGCTGGAAATATTGTTCCTGCAGGTGCTACCATGTCAGGAAGGTTGTAAGGATAGCGATTAGACTAAAAGCAGTTACCGGCATTGTGTAAGAATTTGTTTTTACACTATGCTGGGGTCTGTGAACGAAGTAGTACTGTAACGACAGAAGGCAAGAGTCAGGCAACAGATCATTTATTAAGGAAATCAACGCATATTTATATATTTCATGTACATTACTATGGATATTTAAGCAAACAAACACAGTCTTCCGATTGGTTGTTTCTCACGTAAAGTTAATCTTTCATCTATTTGTGACTGTTTCTTGAATGTCAAATCCTCTATATGTTAACTGCATCCGCCTACGCAAATTCTGCTGTGGTCGGTTTTGAATCAATCTTTGTTCACATTTCCTCACGACAAATCTTGGGAACGTAAATATTGACGTAAATTACTGTCTACCAATTTAGCTAGTAGACAGCTCTCACCACAGTACTGCTGGGGGACAGGTATGTAACAGCAGTAAGGTGTTTCCCTCAGACAATCAGCATGCCAATTATGCTGTCTCTACACTCCAGAGGGATAGGGTTAGAAAACTTCAACTACAAGAATGGTACATCCCGACTTACCCTACGGTGGTCCGTAACCGGTGATAAATTCACTAACACGGAACCAATCCAAGAAACCAGTTCATACAAGCTGTGTGTGACTGGCCTCAAGCACTTGTCCCCTGGGTTCTGCGGCCACGCAAAACTAACCCTCTTTCTGTTTCAGGTACCTGAAGACTCAATCAACTTCCACGATGTGGGCAGCCAGGAAGTAACAACCACCCACACACTTCCAAAAGCACAAGAAGCCTTCCTCAGAATCATTCTCTTTACCCACATCACATTCATCATCTTACTCCCCTACTACAGTCTGTACTTTTCTTCAGGCCAGTGAGTCATTTCCACTTCACTCTGTGACCACAAACAATGATGAGAGCCATAGAAACACCCCCGACAGCCTCTTAAAGTCACGTCATTCACTAAACCACACCCGGCCAACAAGGTGAATCTGCGAAATTCACTTTAAGGGTGTCAGGAGACTCCTCAGCTAGGTCACGAGGACTCGCAGAATTATGGATGGCATTGAGTGTAAGGGCAGAAAGATCCCTTGTTGACTGGATCCCAGTAGATAGTCGTATGTGTGCGGTCCATCTGAACGGGTCGGTTAGAAGAAGGAAGGACTATGTTACCTATCGTTGTCTTTAAATAGTCTCCGCTTACGCCCAACCGACTGCAGTTCCGATGAACTAAAAGATGATTTCTACCACAAACTGTCTAATTTACTGCGAAAAGCAAAACGTCCAGATATAGTTGTTTTAGCAGGCGACTTCAATGACAAAGTAGGGAAGTTAGGCCAGACTGAGAAGTATGTAGGTGGTACGTATGGAGTTCCCTGACGACGAACTGACAACGGTGATCGTCTTCTACACTTCTGTTCAGATAATCATCTTTTCCCAGTTAGCACTAACTTCAGGCACAGAGGGAGACATTGCCTAACCTGGTGACCTCCATCACCAAATAAACACTGGACTCAGATAAACCACATAGCGATAGGGTATCGTTGGCGAGGGTCAGTAGACTTCCGCTCCTTCTGGAATACATGTGTAGACTCCGATCACGCCCTGATACCTCACGCATGTTTATGCTTACGTCTAAATGTACATAAAAACCTGTTAGCAGCGAAGTAGTTACTTCCTCAACTAGATCGAGACTCCCAGTTAATATTTAAGGAAGAAATAACGAAACAAGTGTCTGCAATGGACAGCAGACTCTTCCTGAGGACGTCTGGCACAACATACAGTTAACTGTAGACACATCGTTAAAACCTGAAACCTAAAGTTACTAAGAGCCAGTGGATTTATACCACCTCATCCCAACTGATTCACGCAAGAACACTGATTCCGGTGATCTCCGACTATGATGAGGAGTGAAAGCTACTCAGACGCAAACTAACAAGAAGCCCTCGTAACGGCTGCCAACAGTGGTGGGCGACAAAAGCGAAGGAGATGGAAAAGGCATCGGCGATCGGTAACACCAGACAACTATTTACGCTTATCAGGGAAACAGGTGGTAAAAGGCAAACGACAAGTGAAACAGTCTCTGAGAAAAATGGTGCCATATTTAGCTCCCTGGATAGACGACTAGAACGTTGGAAGGGACACTTTGAGGAGCAATTCAACTGGCCTACAGCCACGCTCAACCTAACGAACATCCAACACCTCCCTGAATGCGATATAGACACAGGTCCTCCGTCCCTAACTGAGGTTACTAAAGCTGTCACTAGTCTGAAATGACGCAAAGCTGCGGGGCCTGATGCAATGACTCCAGAGGTGTATAAGTACGGTGGAGACAGTCTACTGTCTGCGTTAACTAAGGTACTAGGCAGCATCTAGGAATCAGAGGAAGTCCCATCGAGTTGGTGTAAGTTACTGATTATCCCGATATACAAGAAGGAAGACAAGTCTTCCTGTGATAATCACAGGGTGATTATCTTGACCAATATGGTATCTAAAGTTCTAGGCTCAATAATAATGCGAAGACTAAGCGGTCTACGGGAGGAACAAACACGAGAGAACCAGACAGGCTTTAGATCAGGAAGAGGGTGCATTGATCAGATCTTCACCCTCCAACAGAGGCATACTTACTGGCATCCAACATTCGTTATATTTCTTGATTTAAGGGTGGCATTCGATTCTGTCAACAGAAGTGGTACTATGGCGATGTTTGGCTGTGAAGGGATTGCCGAGAAAATACATTGCACTGATCAAGGCACTCACTCTACTCACATTCATGTAGTCACGTAAGAGCTTTCATCTGAAATGGTGACAACTAGTGGTGTCCGTCAGAAATGCCTACTATCATCATTTGTGTTTAATTTCATCATAGATGTACTAATGGACTTAACCGTAACTTACTTCGTCGACTCAGGGATTGACTTGTTACCAGGGAATAATCTCATTGACTTAGAATATGCAGATGCTATAGTCCTCCCTCCTAGGTGAAGACGCTGACAAAACAGTGCAGAGTCCTGTGAACACCTCCAGCTGCAATCTTCGAATGTTTGGCATGCGGTTCGCTCCCGCCAGATGTAAGATGATGCTACAGGACTGTGATACGTCGACTACTCCTAGCTTAGAAATAGGGAGTGAAGTGGTAGACCACGTTAACCGCTTCACTTATTTGGGAAGTTGGATCAACCAGCCCCAACGGGTTGATCGCTGACGAAATCTCAGCACGGATACAGAAGGCGAGTTTCGCATATGCGACTTTACGCCGTCTCTGGCTTATTAGACGTGATATACGGCTGACTGTCGACCAAAGGGCATGTGTACTGCTCAGCGGTCCGCTCCGTCCTCCTTTATGCCTGTGTATGAGACCTGGCCATTGAGAGTGGAAGACATGAAAAGGCCGGTTAGTTGTCTTTGGTCATGGGTGCCTGCGTTCTGTCTCCAGTGTCAAGCGGTATAATAGGGTGAGCAATATTGAGGTTGGGTTTCGGTCGAGTGTTAGGTCGGTGGGACGGGAAATCAATCGACGAGGCTGTGAAGTTACATCGATTGAGATGATCAACACATTTGTTACGCATGTCTAGCCATCGCCTTCCTCGACTGACGGCCAATGTTAGCTGACATAGGATCAGGTTGGAAAGGAGTCGGTAGTGGTGGTCAAACCAAAACATGGCCTCATCAGTCAATGAAATCCACAACAGTTAGTTTAAGCCAATCATGTGGGTAGATGTAGACTGGCTTCCTGGTTGGGGTCCTCGGGATAGTAAGAACCAGTAGCTAAAGACAATTGGTGATATGGCTCAAAATCTTTGTCAATGACGCCGAAGCATCCACTCCTTGCGACTAATAATACTCAATAAAACTATATGGTTCTTCGATATTACTATTCTTTTTGCGTCATATCTCTGTTTCGCATTTCTTACTTTCTTCTATGGCTTTGTGTGCTACATGGAGTGTGGCGACTCGAACTGCTGCACATCGGTGCAAAGTTCTATGTTGAAACCAGTCAGTCAGAATATGATGACTATAAGCCTAACAATCTATTCTGAAAACTTGAATACTATATTATTAATTAAGGATAGGCTGACTAAACTTCCTATTAAAACTACACCCACAGTTTATCGCACTGGTGTTCAAATTCTTGCAAGTGTGATAATTTTGCCAGTAGAATAGTAATTATAGAAAGTCATAATTATACAGTTTCCGCAAAATCAATAAAAGGAAAATAAAAGAAGGCAATCAGATAGATTCTCAAGTATAAACACAAATATGATACTATTCTGCTGAGTTAGAAGACAAACAAGCTGAGCACAGCGAGTGGATAATAGATAACCCACGCAGGTGAGGGAGGGGGAGTAATCTTAAAGTCACAACACGCAAACACAAGGGATATAAACTTTATTGTATATTTGTCAAAAAAATAAAATAAAATAAAAGTGACTGGCATAGTGTATCAAATTCCATAACAAAAATAAAATCATATTTCAGCATCATATATAGATAATAATAGTGGGTATTTAGAAAGACAGAAAAGAGTAATGATAGAAATCAATGTGTTGATGTGTTTAATGTGAAATGCTGAAATTAATTAAAATACAATTGTATAATAGGATGAAAAAACCAGAAAGTATGCTGAAGAAATAATAATAATAATTCATTTTCGCCGAAATTCGAAATTGGAAGAACTGGAGACAAAGTATAGAGAGATCAATGCAATGTATGAAAATTTTACATAATTACTGTACCATTAGAGTGTTTTCCTTGTGTTTATTTTTATTGTTCAGATAAAATAGTGAATGCAGTAAAGAGAACAATGTGATTTGTTAAGACAGCAAAAAGAGATCAATATCACCACCTCTGATTGACTACGTGATTGATATGCTGGTTAATTGAATAAAGCTGTTTAAAAACACAAGTTTGGAATGAATATGAGAAAAAGGAAGTAAAAGGATGTATGTATGTGTGTGTGTGCATATATTCACCATAAAAATGCCTATTTACGCAATTAACACATCATATAGTGTCAACTATTCTCACGTTAGTTGTTCTCGTTTAGCTGCACGTCTGATACATCTAGGGCATATTTCTGGTTTAGGTGTAGGTAAACACACACGATGGAAACAAGCTGAACAAGTTGGACAAGTGACTGTGTTCACTTGACCGAATGGGAAAAGAATTTGACCAGATTTGCAGACTTCACAGATAAAACCTTGAGCTAAGCATCTTTCACATATTGGTATGTGTTCTACAATTGGTAATAATACTGTACGTATAGTCGTTGACATTTTTCCATCGTGTACGGCGTGTAAATCAGCCATACTCCATAAATCTGGTGTTTCAAGCCAATGACTTGGTATACGTTCAAACTCCATCAGCTGTTGAGCTTGAAAGTAAAAAATAACGAAGTTTAAATTATGTAAAACAATAACAAAATTGGTTTTATTTTTTACTGGTAATATAACCAGCATAATACTACTATATATGCTACAAACAATATCCCAAGTATCAGCTATAAATAAATATATGAAGTAGACATGTGAGTATATCTAACAGATACCAAGATAATCAGTTATAAAGTACAAATTTGTAACAGATTATACCCATTATTACAATTGACAGCACTTCCCAGATGTCTAATGTTAATTAGCTGGAGTGGATCTGAATAACTCGACTGACAATCCTTCTGACGTAGAGCCTCTCCTTTAAGAATAGGATTATTATTTATTTTAATTTTATTCCTTTACGTTCCCAGTGGAACATAGGGCTCTGAAGTTTCGGTGGTAATGGTGTTTATTTATACGGGATGGGTTTGTTAGCCTCATGCCTAACCTTCCCTCCTTACCAGTCTTGTTAGTGGTTTAGCGAGATTAAGGAGTGCATTAGCCGCGGATCAAACCCCGAACCGCATGAAGCGTGGTTGGCGCGCATTCTACCACTGTGCCACCGCGGCGCACACCAAGAATATATATATACATAAATTACCAAAGCAGTTCATTTAGTAGATTTAATAGTTCTCAGTACCGACTGTAAGTTAGTTATTCCATATTAGTTAGTAAGTTAGTTAAATAAAGCGAAAAGGAATCACAAAACTAAATATGTACTCATTCTGATTGTCTCTTAGCAAACAATGCTGCATATCATAAAAATATTTTGCCTGTAATAATTAAAAACTCGGGGAATTCCACTATAAACATATGATTATGCAATATATCTCAAAGATAGTTGAAATGTGGTGAGAGCTGTCTACTAGCCAAGTGGTGGACAGTAATTGAGGTCAATGTTTATGTATCAAATATTAGTCATGTTGTGGTGAGAGATGGTTGCTGGCCAAATTGGTTGACAGTAATTGAGGTCAAAGGTCAAGGTGGACAGGCGGTTACAGTTAACATATAGATGAACTGACACAGCCACCAGAGATGCAAGGTTAACTTTGTGTGAGAAACAACCAATCAACAGACTGTATTTTCTACTAACATTGACCTACAATAATGTACATAAAAATCTATAAATACGTGTTGATTTTTCGTAATAAACGATCTGTTGCCTGGCCCTTGTCTTCTGTTGTTACAGAAACACCTCTAGGATCCACTTTGAATGGAGCAAATATTGTGGTGAGAGTTGTCTTCTAGCCAATATTGGTAGACAGTAATTTACGTCAATGTTTACTTCCCAAATCTTGGTCATGAGAAAAAAACAAGATCTAAAATTAACTCAACAACCAATAACAGCAGAGTTTGCGTGGGCGGATACGATTCGCAGAAACGGTCACAAGGGGATCACAGAATAACCTTCAGCGGGAAAACAACCAATCAGCAGACGCTGTTTCCCTGCTAATGATAATAATGAATAATAATGTACATAAAAATATATACATGTCTCTTGATTTCCTCAATAAACGATTTGTTGCCCGGCCCTTGTCTTCTGTCGTTACGATATGAGTAAAAGCAAATCGTTGTATTTTGAAAGATGACAGAAAAATTGGTCTCTACTAATCATCTATTAAGTTTGCAACAACTTAATACTACTATCTTAAGTTTGTAAATTAATGGATGAAGACTGAAGGTGAAATGATGAAGACTTAAGACCCAAAGGAATTTAAACCTACAGCTGATTGTCGTTCAGTCTTTATTATAATAATCGAAGTTTGGTTATTTGACAGAAACTACAGTTTCTATAGCTTCACTGGTTAAACAAAAAACATGGATTAGTATAGACGGTGTACAGCAGTCCTCACAATATGAAAACGAAATAGAAAAGATATACATTTTGTAAGAATAGTGTACATACCTGCTTGACATCGTCGAATAAAAGGTAACATTAAATTCCCTTGCCTACGTAGTGTCAAACAGTCGATTAGACTAGATTGGCGATTTAAAACTTGTTTATTAAAATCAATTGTCCTTAATAAAGGTTGGTTGTGCAGTTGATGAAGTCGATCACGTGCGAAATTGCTAACTGGTAACATACGAAAATCCCAACAAGTTAATAAGTTTCCAGGAAGTGTCATCAGTGTATTCGAATGACAAACACAACAAAAATATCGGCCGAAGAACTCACAAAATCGCATTCTCTTGAGATATCCTAGAGAAGATTTAAAAACAGTGAAGGTTAACAAACGCCTGCAAATAGCAGGATTCAATGGTTTTATTAGTTTTTTTAAGAACTAAATCAACATTTAAAGGAATTAAAATAGAAGAATTTATAAATCTATCTATGCAGTCTGAACGAGATCAGAAATTGGATCCTACAAGATAAAGCCTAAGAAACACTAGAGACTAATGATGGTTAGTTTGTATGAACAATATTAAGGCAAGTGGTAAAGAAGTCGATGCATACGAATGGATTTTTATCTGATTTTAGCCTATTTCGCTATCCATCTGAACAGTTTATTTTTAGGCTCTGATGAAGCTTACCCACTTACTCGATACACACCGAAGTGTAAAACACGAGTGGGTTAACTATGAAGGGGGGGGGGGGAGGATTTAGTAACTTAGTAGTCGTAGCCAGTAGTTCTAAGGCATGACTAACAAAAGTGAGTAGTCCAAGAGTGATTTTTCGATAAATTCAATACCACATATTTTATTTATTTAAACGCAGAAAAATTTGGTACAATATGGCACCAAGAAAGATGCTCCACACAATAATAATAAAACAACATAGATTAAAAGTAAAAATTTAAGTAGAAAACGGATAAAGAACTTCATCTGGAAGGAAAACAGTCATGTTTAACAAGTTCAAACAGTATTCGTTAACTATCATCAGGAAAGGAAGAAAGAAGGAAATTGCAGCACGTTCGCCATTGATTACGATTCTTGGCCATATCCGATAACGTTTCGAGCCATCGATTCGAGCTATCTCGCGGACCCCAACCAGGGAGTCGTGACGCACCAACGGATGCTAATCTAGCACAAATATCCTTCATCCCACGACGCCACGTCATGGACTGACCACCCCTCCGCCTCTTCCATCCCGTCCCAGGGCTAGCGAACAGAGACCTGTACGGAAGCCTCTGGGATGACATTCGCAGCACATGTCCAAGCCACCGGAGCTGGTGTTTCCAGATGACGACACTCAATGAATACTGATCTCCACTGTGTTCAAACACACGCCGCCGAACCTCAGAATTACTCACGCGATGATGCCATCGAACGCAAGCAATCCTGCGGAGACAGCGATGATCGAACACACAGAGTCGCCTCACATCCTCAGCTCGGAGAGGCCAGGTTTCACAGGCGTAGAGCAAGACAGCCCGCACCGAAGCATTGTATACTCGACCTTTGACAGCCAGGCTAACGTCGCGACGGCACCAGAGGTGGCACAAGTTGATGTATGCCACCCTAGCCTTCATTATACGGTTGGAAATCTCATCCGTCACCCCTCCGCCAGCACTCACACAACTACCCAGATACACAAACTTATCAACAACTTCAAGCAGTTCACCCGCAAGAGTGAGTGCAGGTACAGGCTCCTACCAATCTTGTAACAGTACTTTGCACTTAGACGGTGCAAAGGACATACCATACTTACAGACACTGATCGCCAACTGATTAAATGCGATTTGGGCAGCCTGCATGCTATCGCACAGTAAGACGATATCGTCTGCATACTCGAGGTCGAAAAGTCTATCTCCAGGAAGCAGATCTACACCACCTTGACGCACATCCTTCAGAGCTGACTCCAGAATGTCATCGATGGCAAAGCTAAAGAGAAATGGAGAGATTGGGCAACCCTGTCTAACCCCACTGTTGGTTGGGAACAGTGATGATAGTTGGTTGTATGCCCTCACTCTACCTGAGGTGTTTCTGTATAGGGCTTTCAAGATGTTAACAAACTTCTCAGGTACACCTCTCTCTAACAGACAGTTCCAGAGCACAGTTCTGGCCGATAACTGCTACCTTGCCGTGGTGGTCGGGCTTGAATGCCGCAGTGACCCAACAAGCTAAGCTGTCTGGGACTCATGTCCCTGCAGGTCCTACTATGCCAGGAAGGTTGTTTGGATAGCGGTTAGACTAAAAGCAGTTACCATGGGGTACATGGGCTCCAGAATCCAATCGGATCAAATGGCGTACGAACCCATATGGGTCACCGGCAACCATGGGAACGCAGCACCTGACGCTGCTCCGCTGCCTTGCGGATTAGACTCCAAGTCAAAGGCTCGGGGGGTGGTCCCTTAAGAAAACCACCTGCTTCGGTCTGGGCGCCCGGGCAGTATCTCAGCCCTCACACAATAAATGAAATGAAGCAACAAACTATTACTGAAACTTACCGCGCGCTCGTAAAAACTGATTTCAATATCACATAACCTTTCTCTCCACCTAACTATATTACTTCTTAATAGTTTTACTCTTTCCTTCCCTATTGTGTGATTACAAGCGAGTGCATGAATCACAATGACTGAATTTTTATGTTCTCATAACCCGACTCTGAACTAGTGATTTGACCTATGCATTTAACCTCGTTACATAGTACTTGGTTAATTAAATTATTTTTACTCGATTGGGTCAATGCGAGCCTTAAGTCTACAATATTTATCTTTGAGTCATGCCTACAAATTTGTCACCCACAAATTACATGTGGTGAGAGCTGTTTGTAAGACAAAATTATAGACAACAATTTACGTCAATGTTTATGTCCCGAATCGGGGTCACGAGAAAAAATAAGGACAGAGCCTAACCTTGAGGAGCTCAATAACCAATCACAGCAGACTTGGCGTGGGCGGATACGATTCACAGATATATCACCGGACTGTCTAAGAAACGGCAACAAAGAGATGACAGAATAACCTTCAGCGAGAAAACAACTAATCAGAAGACGTTGCTTCTCTGCTAACAATAACGATTAATAATGTACTTAAAGATCTATAAATATCTGTTGATTTTCTCAATAAACGATCTGTTGTCTGACCCCTGTCTTCTGTCGTTACATACACATCAGGAGATGAAAATTTAACAAGATTTCCTTTAGTAATCTGAAATATCCAAATCACAAATTTATGATCTGTTTGATCTTATAAATGACAACCGACAAAGCAAGCAAAATAGCATTGTGATAAGTATCACTATGTGAAACAAGTTAGCCGGAAACTAGCTTATATTAATCAGAAGTATATACAATCATCTGTTCTCTATACATAGTGGTGATATAGGTTACCAAAATATAGAAATAAGGTTACATCTAGAATAACAGACCTCAGTAGGATAAGTGGTCCATGCATGCAGGCGCATAGAGTCACACAATAGGATGGGAAAGTTGCAAAAATATTAGGAGGCAATATAAGTAGAGAGAGAAGTTAATCACTGAATCTTGATTCATTGAATCAACACCTAACAAATATGTAAGTAGGGATATTACAACGCCAATTCTCAGTGTATGAAAAATTCCACTGAAAAAAATGGAGGAAGTGAAACTATACAACACCGAAGTCATGTGAACATGTTGATATGATACGGGCCATAAGTTAGGCAGAGTGAGATCCTTTAAGGTTATTAATAGACAATACAACTCAACTCTCCTCAAATTTGCTGAAGCAATCGCTATTAAACGTTTAAAACCTGACTTATTTGTTCAGAAAGATTCACTTATTAGTCGTTCTTTGCCTTGGTGACTCAACGTCTGATCTCTTCGTCTCAATTGATTACGTAATCTTTTGCTTTCATCCAACCCTCACACATCATTTTCTGCTTTAGTGTAATCCAGTTCTTTTTGTTTCTATGACTTGAGTTAAACTCACCACACCATTAATCATCATCAACTTTTCTCTCCTTGTCTTGACTGCGCAACTCAATTTTCAGTGTATTCCACTATTAATTTTGCATGTTTGTAATTGTCGATGAATTAATTCACTTAGATTTACAATGACAATAACATATATACTTATTTTTGTATGTGTGTGTGTACACTAGGATTGTCCGATAAGAATAAAAATAAGTTAGGGTTATTGTTGTCAAGACATTTCAAAAATGTGATAACTAATCAAATTGTAACTAGGGGGATGGGGTGAAGATTGGTAAGAGGGTAGTGGTGTTGTGTTGTCAGAAAAAAAACATATTTATTAACACGTAAAAGAAGCTGAATAAGAGTAATACAGTTGCGTGCCGATGGCACAGTGGTAGAATGAGAGCGAACCACTCAGGCGATTCGGGATTCGATCCCCGGCCGACGCGCTCCTTTACGTCGCTAAACTAGTAATAATAAGACTGGTATAGAGGGAAGGTTGGGCATGAGGCTAGCAACCCCATTCCGTGGAAATAAACACCAATGCCACTAAAACTTCAGAGCCCTAGCTGGAAGGCCCTATGTTCTACTGGGAACGTAAAGGAATAAAAGAAACACAATTACGTAATAGGATGAATAATTTTCATGAGTGAGTTGTGATTAGGATGCACACAGAAACAAAGGAAAATATGGAATTATGTAAGTTATAAAAATTACAAGTGATATGAAGAGTTAGAAGAAAAAACATCAAGTCAGTAGAAGTCAAAACGGTTGTTACCATGATAGTAGAAGTGGTTGGATAATTTTCTTTTGTATACATAACTCTGGTTTCTCCAACTGAATGGCTAAGTCTTCAGCAATACAAAGGAGACGAAAGCATATTGCTTTTGGTAGGTTGTTCTTCACTTTATGATTTGTAATTTGTTTGAACCTTTTGACCTCATTTATCAGTTATATAAGTAGGACTTCTGAACATTGTTTATTTACATGTGCGTCTCCTAACAAAAAATCATGTTGATCCTTGCAAATGTAACAAAATTCTGTGTACATTTACATAGTCAACTTCTAGGTTGTAAGCAAATGAAGAGAGAATGCAACGAAATAAATAATGGCCTCATATTTGCTTTTGCTTTGTTTCAGATCATAAACGGGGAATAAATCTGTGGAGAAATAGATTGTTCTTATAACGTCATTTAGTCAATAATGTTGTATCATTTGAATAAAGCAAGAACAACAGTGGTTTGTGCAGAACAATATGGTACCATCATTTATTTCGTTGGCTTCTCGTCAGCTGCTTACAGCCTAAATAAATTATGAGGTTTGCATACAGAAAAATTTTACATGTTGTCAGTTGACAAAAGGTTCCACAATAAGTGAACAGTGCTCAAAAAATTGCGCTTATATAGTTTTTACACAGGCAGTTCAAGTTTAAACAAAATAAATGTGTGCATACAATGGTAAAGGAGTTACGCAATAAAGAAAAAAATGCGTTAGATACAGAGTGACTAATAAATTAGGTAACAATGTACTGAGTTCAACTCAAATCATAGAGACAAGAGACAAGCAAAATTACAGATTATAAAAGGGGGTGAGGTTAAAGACAAAGATTACGCAATCAGATGAGAGAATAAAGAAATTCAGTTACCAGGGCAAGGAAAGACTAATAACTGCTTTTGGTTGTTTTGAAAAGCAATGAAACATTGGTAGATATTATACTTTTGGAATTCTATGCGTAAGCTCAATAGGCTTAAATTCAAACAATTATGACAAGTGTTCGATACTTAGGACATTATAATTTGGTTGGTAAAATCTACTAAGAATAAACATCATTCATATCTCAAGACTGACGGTTATTGGGCACTCGTTTCACTTTATCTCTCTCTCTCTCTCTCTCTATATATATATATATATATATATATATATATATATATATATATCGTTTCTAGAATACAGGAGAACACTCGCGAGACAATGGAATATAATTATCTCGTTCTGTGGGATGCAGTATTTATCTCCTGATCATTGGACCACATTATTATTATTATTCCCTCGGGTTCCAAGTGGAACATAGGGCTTCAACAACATATCTCCACTTTCTTCTATTTTCTGCCGTCTTCTTCATCTGGGTCCACGATTGCCCACAATCCCTCATCTCCTCCTCACACGATCTCCGTCATGTCACCTTAGGACTACCCACCCGTCGCTTCCCAGTTAGATTACACTCGAGGGTCTGGCGCGCGATGTGTTGGACGATTACATACACCGAGGAAATGGAGATGGATCGGAGACACTCTGAGAAGACCACTGAGTGATATTAGTTGCCTGGCCGTCGAGTGGAACCCGAATGGGAAATGCACGATGAGTTGGGCGTCCCATAGTGGCATGGAAAAGACTGTGTGATAAGATGAAAGCTTATAAACCATCGTGGAGCCAACTAGAAAGGACTACGAAGAACAGGATGAAATGGAGAGGTATTGTTGAAGCCCTATGTTCCACTCGGAACTTAAGGGAATGAAAATAATGATAATACATATTGCTTAATAGTGAATAATTATTGTATGATGGCAGAAAACTCACGTGTTTCAATGAAAGCACCACAACCAGCACACCGGTTATTCTGATTGGTCAAAATCGCTTTACGTCTGTCAAAGTAATAAAATAATTGAAAAAAAACAAACACTACCTCATCAGAATGCGTTAACACAAACTGTAATCACTACTTTACAATATTTTTCAAAAGCAACCACAAGGTAGTCAAAGTGCATGAAAGACACGTTTTGCAGATGTTATTGAATTTTTATTACAGTCTATTTAATCCTATGCCATATGATCAACCAGAAAAATCTATGGAAGGTTTTGTATCATTTTTCAAAAACACCAAGTGGAAGTAAAGTTTAGTAGTATGATAGAGCTCCTAGGGATGAATCGATAGACAAAGTAAATCATGAGACGACACACAGTAGTGATCTAAGAGAATTAAGACCAATTAGTCCAATATTAGTATCTAAAATGCTTGAATTAAACAATCAAGTGGCATAAGATTGTGCATATAGCTAACACAAGATATGCATCAAAACTAAGACAAGTTTTCACAATGAATTACATGTCACAGTTATGACTAAGAATTTCATTATGCCACTTCAATTTATGGCTGAATGAATGAAGCGTAAAATAGAATATGACTTACATGCGTACAACAGAGAAATATATATTTGATTAGTAAACGGCCTGATGGATCAATACATAGGTCTGTTTGTGTAAAAACTACTTGGACAGGACAGTGTCTTAATTACCACAGTCCCGGTTCAGTTCAGTACAAGAGAGACCTTGTGAAGTGCCTCCTTGATAGGGTTCAAAGAATATGGAGAGAAGATACATTTGAACGCGAAGAAAGAGTATTAGCAGAAACCCTTTTTGAAAATAATTACCACGAGGAAATTATTAAGAGGCACACAGGGTTCAGAACGTCAAGATCAATTCGTCAACCTGTGATTAAAAAAGGGATGTCTTTTATCAATATACCCTACACGGGTGATCTCAATAGCTTGACAGTTAAACAAGGATTGAAGGCTGTGGGCAAAAGGACGACTTCTCATGCAGCTAAGATCCGTGAAGCCTGTATACCCGTCTAATTCTTCAGAAAATACGAAAAATCATATCACACCCCTCTGTATCTATCTACTTTAATGTACATGAGGGCTCATCGATCTCTGTAAGTAAGGGCTTCAGAAACAGATTGAATCCAAGTGTTGATTTGCAGGAGTTTGATTGGTTTCAGGATTTCATCATGAACTGACATCGGTTAGAGGACCATTGGGAAACCAGTTGGGAGTACTGGACAGCTGTTTCGTCTTAGTGTGTGACTCTTCAGTAGCCCACATCCACCGACAGGGCTCGAACTCAGGATCTACTGGTTAAAAGTCGATGTCGTGGACCATCAAACCACTGGGACCCGATCCAATGGACCATGAATTCCAAATTCTGGCAATTCATGATATGGCGCGACTACTAGGTAATTTCATCAGAGAGTATTTGTCCTTACACCCGACCTGCTTTACCTCACTGGTCACGACTTCCCACTAGAGTCTAGGTAACTACCTACCTGAATAGAGCAGAAGTTGGAATTCATGGACCACTGGACCAGATCCCAGTGGCTTAATGGTCTACGAGCTCGCCATGTAACCGGTAGGTCTTGGGTTCGAACCCTAGTGGGTGCATAGTGCTGAAGAGTCCCAACGTAGGAAGAGACAGTTGTCCAGTACTCTCAACCGGTTTTCTAATGGTCCTCCAACCGATGTCAGTTTATGATGAAATCTTGAAACACGGTGAATCCCCCGAACATATTAATGATACCAACAGACAACCAGGTTCTTCCATTACGAAACATATTATACATAGAGGGCATAAAACTGATGTTTATACATCTTCCAAACCCTTTCTGTACAGCGTGTTGGGCGCGTATCTTTAAGTTTGTGGAAATCCTAGAGATTGGAAAGTTTAAGCCGCTCTTATATGTCTACAAACAATTTTTCATCAAATCAGACCTTCTTTGATAAAAATATTGTTTTAATACGGAGATAGATGTACGTACTATTATCCTCCCCACTTTTCGGTTAATTGATCTCCATTGTTATTTTGGCCTTCAAAATGTCCTTTCGACTTGACCTACGTCTATTCTTTCATCCCTTAACGCTTTATTATTTCTTTCATAATAATTCTTATTACAAGTACACATATACGATCAGTTTGTACAAAATGTGTTAGACAAAAAAAATTACATCTTATCAAAAGAAAGACAATATTTGCATTTGCAAGTTTTAATACAATAATTGAATGCATTCTCACTTTGAAAAAATATAGACTTACTTAGATTTATGAACAGGTGGGTTAATTAACAGACCATACGGTAGAGGGGTACATACAAAGTCGAACAAAGAGGAACGATGAGTGCTCAATGGTACGCGAGGATTGTCTTGTCTGTCTGAAAGTTTAAAATCTCTAATCAAAGAAATTAATGATTGAGAGTTATTTCCATCTTTTAAAGCTGAATCAACAGTTGAATTAGTGTTATTATTGTCATTATTATTATCATCATCATCATTATTTAACTTAACCGGATTTGTGTTGACTGAGACAGTAGTCTCAGGAATTTTTCCATTATTGCGCACTGAATTGAATGAATTCAAAAAGGTTGATAAATAACCACCACCTGATTGTGAAAGTGAATTCAAAGTAGGCTTTGAACTGGTCGTCGGTTGAGGATAGGATTTGAAGTGAAAACTGGTCCACCTTTGCAATGAAATACAATTGGAAGGGCGGTGAGGGGGTGGAAACAAATGTGTCAGATAAAAACCATCATCGGGTGAATTAAAAAAAAATTTCATCAAAGAAAAGTAGAATGAAATATAAGTTTATAGTAAAGGATAATATTAGTGTATGCTTCTTCACATGATGCTTCATACAACCTTATATTATACAAAATTGAAAATATCTTACTGTTTCAATTGATCCTATCCTACACATTATCGTTAAATAAATAAATAAAATCCTACCTTTAGTACATTTCAGGAAGCTTGTACAGGTTTCTACCTTATATTTTGATCAGGAACTAATGTAACACATCGACCAACAGTCACAAGAAAAGAAAGTAGAATACGAAGTTGGAGAGAAGGTGTATTCACAGTACAAATCAAAATTCTAGTGAAACTGTATTAATTTGATGAAACAAAGTTTCAACGCCTTGTGTTTAACACAAAGATTGTTTGAACTATTAGTGTTTAATTTGTTTACATGAAGACGGTCCCTCAGGTGTTTTTACAATGTAACAACTGAAATTTAAAGATTTTCTGTTATGATGATGTCTTCATAACATTTCTCAGTTTATTTACACTTTATCATATTCAGTTCAATTCCGTCTCACCGTAATATATGTATCAAGACATTATATGACACATGTTTGGGAGTGTCAAAAAAGTACTGTGCTGAATATTTATATATATATATTTCAGGTATGAAGGATAGCCTGTAACAAAAGAATGAAGATAGTAACTCAATATTGGTGAATCTTTAGTGGAGTGGTGTATACTATGGAAGATAGAATCCAGAAAATCCTGTAATTTGATGATATTAGATGGTTGGAGGCAATTAGATACAGGAAGCCTAAGACGTAGGTTTCATGCTAGTTGGTACTCACCAGTCAGCAAGGTGTGTCTGCAAACTTGAAGGAACTCATGTCCCTTCTGAGATTCCAACTCGCGTCACCCAGTGCTACAGTCAGAGACGTTACCACTGAGCTATTCGGGCTCGGGATTGACCTCCTGTAGGACTGTATTGGATACTTTGATTGGACACTAGGAACTAGTGTCCATCAAATCAATGTGCACCGTGATGGCGAGCTACCTAGAATGGTGGCCACATTGCAAACCTGACTGGCAGAATTCAGTCTGCACGCATCACACTAGTTACTAGTGTCCAATCAAATCCTGTAATCTATTGACAAACATTTAATATTTAATACAATGTATCGATATATTCCATATTCCATTTCTCAATAATAATAATAAAACAGTACATTACGGTGCAACTGGCTGATTCAGTTTTCGACGTAGATTTATGCACAGAAGTTGAGCAGTTCAGATTGTCACATTCCATATTGCACAGAGAAAAAATTCAAGGGAACTTGAATCAATGGAAATGAATGGAAGAAGGCATAATTACATGGAGATTCATGAAGATTTGATGGATCTGAGAAATCACGAGAAATCAATGCACCTGCTCCAATGAGAACGATTTTGGGCCATATTATCAACGGTTTGAAGCCATTCTCTCTTAGTGTTTCGAGTACCCTAGTAAAACGGTCACCACCAAATGTGTGGCTGACTCGGACTAACAGTCAAAGGTTTCATGGATTGATGGCAAGTTTTGATCTGACCACACCTAACTCTTTTTCAACTTAATCCTCAGCATGTGCAATATATGTCTTAGATATCTCAATCGATGTAGCTTCACAATCTAATCCATTGACTTGCCCTTCTTACCTAACGCTTTATATACCTAACCTCAATATTACTCACCATATTATACCATTTAAGACGAGAGATATAATGCAAATATCTATGGTCAAAGACAGCTAGCCTTTTGCGGCTTTTCAATTTCAATGAACGCCTCTCAGAGCTATAAAGAAAGAGATAGAAATACTGCACTGTATACACATCCTTTGAACGACAACCAAATATCACGGTTACCCTAAAGGCCGCAAAGGATTCCAACTACCATCCTAGTCTCTTTTTATTCATGTTGAAATTTCGTCAGCAATCAGTTCGTTAGGAAAGGTGTGACTTCGTGAATAAGTGAAGTGTTCAACACGCTCAACTCCGCCTCACTCTTAAGACTGTATACACCGTTTTGTTTATCGTCTGAAGACTGATTCACTTTTGCGTAGTTATTAACCTACTTCAATTTTTAATTACATCGACGTAAATAGATTAATGGATGGTCAGTTATGTGTTTGAAAAGTAACAATAATGAAGACTTTACTAACAAACACAAAGTTTCATTCACGATATGATACGCATCCAAGTAATTGCAATTGACAGAAAATATTGAGTATAACTTTCGCGTAACTTGTATTATTTCAAGTTGAACAGTTTTACACATACTAGAATAGTACCTCGATGGATGAATGGTAAAATGCTCACCAGATACGGAAGAGAGGGAAGGTTATGCGTAAAGTTAGCAACCCCATTCCATAAGATGACAACATCTCCACTACTAAAACTTCAAAGCTTGAAGCCTTATGTTCCACTAGGAATGCAAGGAATGAATGAAGACAATCTACACATAAAATGACAAACTAATGAGTGTCTAAGCAAAGGACATTTGAAAGAAACAATCACAAGATAGGAACAGCATATTGACAACATTTTTTTCAAAAAAAAAATACAAAAATGTGCTTACCTCTGACGAGGTGACTGCCTTGAATTTTCTGGGGATTTGACAGAGTGTTCACTGCTCTTAGAAAAACTCGAAGATTTTAACAAATGTTGAAGTTTATTGTCTTGAGTAAAACCTTCTGCTTTTGTAAAACTAGTGGACGATTGATTCAAATGGACCCAATCTATATCAGAAGTGTGGAGCATCAATTCTCGTAATTCACAAAGTTTGCAAAAAATCGTTTCATGTTTAACATGCTGAACAGTTTCTTTTATACATGTATTGATTAGTGAAACTGCCAATCCAGTTGCACTATCCACCATATAGTGTTCCATGTTTTCCGTCTGATCAATAAGATTTTGAACTGACACACTAGTGAATGGATTGTGAGGACTGTGGACAATTGCCTGACCTGACGTCATCTATGGTGAGAATGGGATTGAAGACAAGACATCTGAACCTTAATATTTATCAAATAAATACTTGCTTAAGGTTTCATCTACAGGTATATTTAGATATTTATACCATTAAAACTATTAACTAAGGAATAAAAGGCCTAGATGTGCCTGGGTGGCCAATCACTTAATGACTGACGATTCGAATCTAGATGCGAAACTCATTTTTATCTAATTTCACTAATCACCATCTTATGTCAAAAATGACCATAGATAGTCTCACCGACATTTGGTAACAAGCTTTCTTTCTCTAATTTCGCAGGTAAATAACTAGAACGAAAAGACATAATTGATAAGCTAAAATGATATACATGCAGTGAAGTTTTAAACGGAAGTTGCAATAAATTCTTGGTTGTTTAGACTTAATCAGCAGCTTGGCTTTGAAACTTGGTATAACACTCAATAAGGATACACATCAGCGGTTTGCTGGAGTCAAAGTCAGTATTTTGATCTTGGTCATTCCATTACGTAAGGTAGTAGTCAACAGTCTTTAGTGATTAGACAAGTATTTTTGAACGTCAACTGTTAGTATAGGTAATATATTAGAATAATTTAAAACTGTTCAGTTTAAAGGTATAACAGACCATAAACATTTCAATTTATTACTACTTTTAAAAATCACCAATGAATGACCAATATTCGATGTAGCTGTCAATCGTTTAATCTTGATAACGCCCAGATATCGATCAATTCTAAAATGAGCCAACTAAGCTGAGTGGTATAGCACTTCTATCCATAGTGATTTGATGTGAATAGACTAGTAGTAAAAAGATTAACTTCAGCACTGAATAGAGCGATGTAGAATCTTTGAAAGACGTAAGTTTTGTGGGAATTGTCTAGTTTCAAAGTAGAATTTTGCACAGATGGATGTACAGCAGATCGAGTTGTCACTCTCCATCCACGTAGTACACAAAGTAAGAGAAGAGAGGTTTGAAATAGAGATAATAAACAGAAGTGTGAGGCAAAACGAACAGTAATATCGAAGAACAATAAAGTTTTACTGGATATGACAGATAAAAAAGAATGAATGCACCTGCACCACTGAAAACAATTTTCAGCCACATCACCGATTGTCTCTAGCTACTGGTTCTTACTATCCCGAGGACCCCAACCAGGAAACCAGTCTACACCTACCTACATGATTGGTTTAAACTAACTGTTGTGGATTTCATTGACTGGTGAGGCCATGTTTTGGTTTGACCACCACTACCGACTCTTTTCCAATCTGATCCTATGTCAGCTAACATTGGCCGTCAGTCGAGGAAGGCGATGGCTAGACATGCGTAACAAATGTGTTGACCATCTCAATCGATGTAACTTCACAGCCTCGTCGATTGATTTCCCCTCCCACCCACCTAACATTCAACCAAAGCCTAACCTCAATATTGCTCACCCTATTATACCGATTGACACTGGAGACAGAACGCAGGCACTCATGATCAAAGACAACTAGGCGGCCTTTACATGTCTTCCATTCTCAATGGCCAGGTCTCACTCACAGACATAAAGGAGGATGGAGCGGACTGCTGAACATCTGGACCTAGCTGAAGCAGTAGCGATCCAGAAATTAAAGCCAAAGTCAAGGCTTTGTATCCTTCAAAAGAAACGCATTTAACCTTTGTTATTGTTATGGTCAACATAACCAGTCTGCTTTCGAAAGAAAATCACTATTTCTTTAACCAAACTTCCTGTTTATTTTCTTATTCTAAACTTGATTTGTGCTATGTGACTTCATCCTGTTATTCGCTATATTTTAACTTCTGACAGGAAACAGTTTTGAAACTTTCTCACCCTCTTGTTGTACATTCACTTCTCGTGATCATTTTCACCTTGAATATTACCATAGCTCAGACCTATCAGTCAGTGCAAATATTTACTGAGAATAAATTTTCAGTAAACTAACACCAATAATATTCATTTAACAATTTTGTCTCTTACACTCATTTGTCATCTATCATCTTTCAGGGTGTGTTATTTCCAAATGAGGCGGTTGGGCTTGAGACACATTGGTGTGAAGATTTACAATCAGGTAAACTGAATCATCTCCTCTTGTACCTAAACACTTCCCCTCTAATCTCATTACTACTCATTACTTGGTGCTACGTAACATGTGCAACAGAAGAAAAAGGCTTCTTACTGAAAACTATAAACTTTTGACGTCTTCTACTTTGAGTAGTTACACCTCACAAAAATAAAATAACATAACGAGAATCATTATACGATAAACATACTTTATTAAATAATTAACCAGATATCTTACTCTCTTGTTTCAAGGATGAGGCAGATTAGCGAATGACATTCAATCAATAGCCAGTTCATTATCCCGACCGACAGCTGCTACCTTGATGTGGTGGTCGGTCTTGCATATCACAATGACCTAACATGCTACACTGGTCCCACTATGCCAGGAAGGTTGTTAGAATAGCGATTAGACTAAAAGCATTTACCGGCATTGTGTAAGAATTTTGTTTTTACACTACGCAGGGGTCTGTGGACGAAGTCGTACTACTGGGGAACAGGAATGTAACAGCAGTAAGGTGTTTCCCTCAGACAATCAGCATGTCAGTTATTCTGTCTCTACGCTCCAGAGGGATGGGGTTAGAAAACATCAACCCCAAACATTGTACATCCCGACTTACCTTACAGTGGTCCGTAGCCGGTGGTAAATTTGCTAATACGGAACCAATCCAAGAAACCAGTTCATACAAGCCGTGGGTGACTGGCCTCAAGCACTTGTCCCTTGGGTTCTGCGGTCACGCAAAATTAACCCTCTCTCTGTTTCAGGTACCTGAAGACTCAATCAACTTCCACGGTGTGACCAGCCGGGAAGTAACAACCACCCACACACTTCCAAAAGCACAAGAAGCCTTCCTCAGCATCATTCTCCTTTACCCACATCACATTCATCATCTTACTCCCCTACTACAGTCTGTACTTTTCTTCAGGCCAGTGAGTCATTTCCACTTCACTCTGTGACCACAAACAAAGATGACAGCCATAGAAACACCCCCGACAGCCTCTTAAAGTCATCTCAACAACTTCATATAGGTGCATTCAACGTCATGACCCTCTGACAAATCGGACAACAGGCATCACTAGCAAGAACTCTGGCATCTCCAGCCATGGATGTATGCTGTGTTTCGGAGACACACATAAAAGATCCGAGTGTGGTGATTCACTAAACCCCACCTGGCCAACAACGCGAATCTGCGAAATTCACTTTAAGGGTGTCAGGAGACTTCTCATCTAGGTCACGAGGACTCGCAGAATTATGGATGGCATTGAGTGTAAGGGCAGAAAAACCCCTTCTTGAATGGATCCCAGTAGATAGTCGTATGTGTGCGGTCCATCTGAACGGGTCGGTTAGAAGAAGGAAGGACTATGTTACCTATCGTTGTCTTTAAATAGTCTCCACTTACGCCTAACCGACTGCAGTTCCGATGAACTAAAAGATGATTTCTACCAGAAACTGTCTAATTTACTGCGAAAAGCAAAACGTCCAGATATAGTTGTTTTAGCAGGCGACTTCAATGACAAAGTAGGGAAGTTAGGCCAGACTGAGAAGTATGTAGGTGGTACGTATGGAGTTCCCTGACGACGAACAGACAACGGTGATCGTCTTCTACAGTTCTGTCCAGATAATCATCTTTTCCCAGTTAGCACTAACTTCAGGCACAGAGGGAGACATTGCCTAACCTGGTGACCTCCATCACCAAATAAACACTGGACTCAGATAAACCACATAGCGATAGGGTATCGTTGGCGAGGGTCAGTAGACTTCCGCTCCTTCTGGAATACATGCGTAGACTCCGATCACGCCCTGATACCTCACGCACGTTTATGCTCACGTCTAAATGTACATAAAAACCTGTTAGCAGCGAAGTAGTTACGTCCTCAACTAGATCGAGACTCCCAGTTAATATTTAAGGAAGAAATAACGAATCGAGTATCTGTGGTCGACAGCAGACTCCTCCTGAAGAAGTCTGGCACAACATACAGTTAGCTGTAAACACAGCGTTAAAACCTGTCAATAACCTGAAACCTAAAGTTACTAAGAGCCAGTGGATTTCTACCACCTCATCCCAACTGATTCACGCAGGAAGACTGATTCCGGTGAGCTTCGACTATGATGAGGAGCGAAAGCTACTCAAACGCAAACTAACAAGAAGCCCTCGTAACGACTGCCAACAGTGGTGGGCGACAAAAGCGAAGGAGATGGAAAAGGCACCGGCGATCGGTAACACCAGACAACTGTTTAGGCTTATGAGGGAAACAGGTGGTAAAAGGCAAACGATAAGTGAAACGGTCTATGAGAAAAATTGCACCATAATTAGCTCCCTGGATAGATGACTAGGAGGTTGGAAGGGACACTTTGAGGAGCAATTCAACTGGCCTACAGCCACGCTCAACCTAACGAACATCCAACACCTCCCTGAATGCGATATAGACACAGGTCCTCCGTAATTAACTAAGGTTTCTAAAGCTGTCACTAGTCTGAAATGACGCAAAGCTGCGGGGCCTGATGCAATGACTCCATAGGTGTTTAAGTACGGTGGAGACAATCTACTGTCTGCGTTAACTAAGGTACAAGGCAGCATCTAGGAATCAGAGGAAGTCCCATCGAGTTGGTGTAAGTTATTGATTATCCCGATATACAAGAAGGGAGACAAGTCTTCCTGTGATAATCACAGGGTGGTTAGCTTGAATTTATTTTATTTTGATTTACAGCTTGATTCCACACCGTATTTTCAGTACAAGTGTGGAACTTTCAGCATGGATATCGGTAGCACAAATTCAGGTCGACCATAGATATCGGGTGTGCGCCGGCAGGGGACCGAACCCCGGACCATGTGCATGGTCGGTGAGAGTCCAGGCTCAATAATTATGCGAAGACTAAGTGGTCCACGGGAGGAACAAACACAAGAGAACCAAACAGGCTTTAGACCAGGAAGGGGGTCCTTCTTTATGCCTGTGTATGAGACCTGGCCATTGAGAGTGGAAGACATAAAAAGGCCGGTTAGTTGTCTTTGGTCATGGGTGCTTGCGTTTTGTCTCCAGTGTCAATCGGTATAATAGGGTGAGCAATATTGAGGTTGGGCTTCGGTCGAGTGTTAGGTGGGTGGGAGGGGAAATCAATCGACGAGGCTGTGAAGTTACATCGATTGAGATGGTCAACACATTTGTTACGCATGTCTAGCCATCGCCTTCCTCGACTGACGGCCAATGTTAACTGACATAGGATCAGGTTGGAAAGGAGTCGGTAGTGGTGGTCAAACCAAAACATGGCCTCACCAGTCAATGAAATCCACAACAGTTAGTTTAAACCAATCATGTAGGTAGGTGTAGACTGGTTTCCTGGTTGGGGTCCTCGGGACAGAAAACAACATTGGTTGGAGACAATCGGTGATATGGCTCAAAATCTTTGTCAATGACGCGGAAGCATCCACTCCTTGAGACTTATAATACCCAACAAAACTATATGGTTCTTCGATATTACTATTCTTTTTGCGTAATATCTCTGTTTCGCATTTCGTTTTACTTTCTTCTCTTACTTTGTGTACTACGTGGATGGAGAGTGACAACTGGAACTGCTGCACATCGGTGCAAATTTCTTTGTCGAAACCAGTCAGTCAGTTCATTAGACTTGACGACACTCTTCAAAATTACACAGAACTTCAAAGGTAATGTTCAAAAAAGAACGAACCTAACTTTTTAATGTTAGAAATAATAATACTGCTACTACTAATGATAATAATAAATATCATTAATAATACCTGACGATCATTTTGCATTTCTGATGGCAAATTTGTATGCTTCTTATTCTCTGGTAGATCCAACAATTTAAAAGTCTCCAAATCATAAATTTCTTCGATTTGTTCAATTAAAAATTCGCATAACTCAAAGTATGCTACTTCTCGAACTAAACGTTGCTCAAATTCAGAACGACCTGGAAGAAGTAGGTGTTGTGTATCAACTTGATTATTTGTAAGAGAAATTGGCGGTGAAGACAAGTGAGATAGTGAACCTTTAAGAGTTCGGAGAAGAGAAATAATCCTGCGTTAGTTACATTCTCAGAGTATTAGAAAAGGAGTAATGGTATGACAATCATGTAAAATACTGCAAGACTTTCGTAGTTAATTTAAAACTTTCTGAACTTAAAATTATGTTGTCAAATAATAAAAGTTGTAATCGAGAGTTTTTTGCTTTCATGTTTAATAAATACTCTTTCGGTCTCCCATATGAAGACAATACTTATTGTCAGTTGTAAATTTCGAAATTTCCTCAAATGTACGGTAAATAACTAATATAGAAATTTGATGCAAATGGTCTCTTTCACTTACTTTGGGAGCATCTTTTTAACTACAACCAGTAAGGATGAGGATGTGAAAGCCAGCAAGGATCGGTAAAGCGACACAAGAATTCAGTGAACTTAGTACGGAGATCTTCAGCACTTAGCACACATTTCAAATCAGTGCTTTTATATGGTTGAAAAAATTTGGTACGTGTGTCACCAACAGCATTTCCAAAAGACTACTGAAGACTTTTATCAAAAACTAGCTACCTTCGCTTGATACTGAAGATCAGATGACCGGCTAAAAGGTGCAAGTAAAAAGTAATCCTGGCGGCAAACCAGACAACGTGTTGCCCAACAAATATGCAGAAGGAAGTGGAGAAGGACTGGATATACTCTGAGGAGTTTGTTGAGTGACATCACATACCAGGTTTTCGAGTGGCTCTAGTGGCAGATAATATGAAGAGGAAATGAAGGCTTGTGGACAGCCATGGAGTCAGTTGTAAGTGGTTGCACAGAACAGAGTATAGTGGAAATGTTCTGCTGAAACCCCATATTCCACTCGGAAGGTAAGGAAGGGATAATAAATAGTAATATAATGTAGTGGTGATTATGAATTAATCCTTCGGTTTCCCTTCTTATGAGTATGAGAAAATCAAAATACTCTCTAATGAAATATTAATTCCACATTCAATAAATACATATTTACACCGCATCATTTAACTCCTACAATCATTAATTATCATCTTCGCAGCATATGAAAGAAATCTGCATTCAACGTATATGACTCAGACTGACAGTCAGAATCCTTAAATGTTTGCAAGACATTTTGATTTGATTATTTAAGGCTTTTTTCATCCTTTAAGCATCCAGCCAAAAACGTACCTAGAATGAACGAAATATTCCTATATTAAGTCATAAGAAAAAGACGTAAACAGCGGAGGAAATTTTCTTTTTGACGATTCATTTTTATAAGCTGTATATCGTAGTTATATCTAATAAAGAATTCATAAGACCAATCATATACTGGTAAAATTTGTCCTCGAAAACGTATTACGTAAAGTTAGGTGTAGTCTAGACGGGGTGACTAATTGGAAATTAGAAAAGGGGGCAGAAGTTGGCATGACGTAACGAGTGTGAGAAAATGACTTATTGATACAGTTGTGTGGAGTGGACAAGAACCAGTGGAAAGACGAAAAAATGTTTTTATAAAATCTGTATGAAAACGCAATGTTACTAATAAACAGTAGTAGAGTGATAATAAAATAAGGATGATGAGAATAATAATTATAGTAAACTTACATAATAAAAGGAAGCAAACTTATAGTGAGAATGTTACTCTGGTCACGGTAGGGTGAGGGAATGCATGAGGTGCTTTTGAATTCAGAGGTCCGGTTTCAGATCCCGAATAGCCAATGATTGAACTATGTACAGATTTAGTATTCGAAGTCTTTTCGAAAGATATTGAGGGGCTTTGTGTAGCACTGTGAAGAATTCATGCCGGGGTGCTTGACGTTGCGTACGACCGGTATACTCCGCTCCACACGAACAAGTAAACGGATAAATACACAATGACGTGGCCAAAAGCGGTATCTTATCCTTAAAGTTAGACTGAATTAATTGTTTGCTGGAGAACGTGATGCGTAAGATGGTTGCTTGAAATGTCTTCTTCAGACATTCAGAAAGGTGGTTTCTGAGAATTTCTGCTTCGATATCACCTCTGAATCCCAGGTTCATGAAGAGAGTTTTCTTAGGAACAGTTGTCATTTTTGGTGACGGAGACTTTCCCTTGGTGGATACCTGTTCTCTAGTAGGGCTTAACTCATTCTCTATCGTGCCTTCCAAACAAATTTTTCGAATCCTCCAACATAATGTACGTACTAGGTTTTGCTTTTGGACCAGTGGGAAGAAGCTCTGGAAGTTGATGAACTGTTTCGTCCATGTTGGCTTGTGAAATATTGATTTTCGCATCGTGCAGTCTTGCCTTCTGGTAAGTAGTACATCGAGGAATGGAAATGCCATGTTTGACTCACGTTCTAAGGCGAATTTTATTGATGGGTGTACCGCGTTGAAGTTTTTGAGGAGATACTCTAAACCAACTTTTTCACCACAGATTATAAACATATCATCTGCGTATCTCTTATATAGGTGCAGTTGACTGATTTATGGATCGAGGATGTTGTTTTCGAGACTCGCCATGAAGCAGTCAGCTAGGAATGGATCGAGAGGAGACCTCATACCTACACCATCTTTCTCTAAATAGAATTGTTCATTGAATTTGAATTGGATATTAAACGCGCATATCAGAAGTAGTAGCTTTAGGTAGTTGATGGGAAGAGGAACTTTTGGGTTGTTGGTTTCGATTCAGTCACAGATGAAGCATATTACCTAGGTCAGTGGGATGCCTGTGAATAGAGAGGTGAAATATAGTGAAAGCATTTGTCTTTCAAACACGTTGATATCGTTCACTGCATCGATGAAGCCGAATGTATCACTAAGACTATATTTTGTCATATGTCTTCTTATCTGTTCAAGGATATCTCCCAACCACTTCGCGATCTGATGATATGGTGAGATGACCACGTCTATGATAAATAGAAGTGGAACATTCTTCTTATGCACTTTAGGCAATCCATATGGTCGTGGAGTAAGTGAACTGCATGGCTTTTTTGCTTATATAATTGCGGGTTTATGACTGAATCTCCTTACATTTTCTTCAACAATTTTGCAAGCAGGTTTTCTGTTCTTTCCGTTGTCTTTCTGGTTAGGCGGTTTGAAGAATTTGGTGTTGTTTGATAGCATGTTTGTTAATATCTCAATATAGTTGGAACTGTTCATTACCATAATCCTATTGCCTTTATCACGACGGACAAGGATTATGTCATTATTTTCTTGAAGTTATTTTCTGTGTTCCTTGGTCAGCAGATAACGATGGCTCGGTTGTGTACGAATGTACTTGTCGAAGCTGTTGAGAACTGAAGCTTTGAACCGTTCGAGATCTTTTTCAGAAGCAGGTGACGAGTCAAATGTCTGTGAGATTAAATTCTCGAACTGAACCTTGGTTTATAATTCGTTGATTTTACTCGATACACTGCAAAATTTCGGGCCAACTGATAGGACTTGGATTTGAATAGGAGTGAGGGGAAAACTGATGACAATGATGTGGCACATTTATGTACTTGAACAAAGAGAAAGACACCTCACCAACAGCAGAAAAAGACACAAGGTGGGATTTTACGGTTAACTTTCCGATATAGACAAGCTATATATACCTTGTATACCTATCATTTGCACTAACTAATGTTTTCAATAATGCGGCACTTAGTCTACTGAATACAATCACAAGTTTTTATTAATACCAGCGAAGCATATTTTATCTAATTCATGGATTTATTTCCGATAAAAATCATGCTGTGACGTATAGCCCGACCTTAAGATTTCTTATGTAGTCACTGATAACATAACAAAACCATCAGTTCATACATTAGGCGTGATTTCTTCTGAGCTGGTGAATGAACTCAGTAGAAAAGTTACAAAAAATCAGCCAGTGCTTTTCTAACTGATGTAGGTTGAGGATGAAAATCAACTTTAGAAAAACTACTTATTAATAAAGCAACGAAAAAAACAGAAGTTGAGTGTATATCATAAAAAAATAAACTGACAGTGTTAAAGAAAGTAGCTTACCTTTTAAGTGCAAAGTGTATAGGTATCATGAATGTGAAAAAGTTGTTAATGATTGAAAAACAACGTAAGCATAACAGTTATTAGAATGGTTGGTTTTTATTTAAAAACATACAAGCATAGTGCAATGAAGTTATAATCTTTAACTCAATAAAATGATTAAAAACTATGTAAAGGATGCATATACCGAATAACAAAATAAGCAACAATGATACTGCATATAATGAGTCTCTCTCTCTCTCTCTCTCTCTCTATATATATATATATATATATATATATATATATATATATATATAACCACCTTCATGCATAGAAAAATTCCCATATATTAACATTACCCACCTAAATGACATTTCACATCACTTGATGAATTTGTACTGACTGGATTGTTTTTAAATTGAATGGTTTCTGGATAAACTGAACAATTTGCACCATCTAATTCTTCATCATCTGTTTGGCCGTCGCCAGCTGAACGTGATCCAATTGGAATGTCTTTCTCCGTAAGTATAGAATTCAGGTGCTCACAAGATATAAATGGTTGGCTCAGATTAATCGTTTGGTGTGAACCATCTAAAATTCCTTGGTCTAAACATCCTAAGTGATCTCTTAAGCAGAGAAGAAACCATAAAAATTTGTAGGTCAGTAGGGTTTGTCATACTTTTATTTTACTGGACTTAATTCATAAACTTTTTATGACACAGTTTGCTTATGTGAATAAACTTAGGTGTACACAAGGCAAATATTTTTATTAACTATCCTCGTAGGTGTTGTATTTCTATTGAATAATTTAGCTAATGAGAATGGGATACTATAAAAACTATCTGTGAATGTTCTGTTTGGGCACACGATCTTAATCTAGAAAGATAAGAAGTGAAATAAAAAGGAAACCGAGAGAGTAGCCAGAATGAAAGCACCTACCTCATGTCAGGACTCAAATGTCCTCTCAACTTTAGCCGTCACCAAATTACTTTGGTTGTAGATTTTTTCAGAGTGACATAAACGAAAAAATTAATGCATACTCAGTTGCAAATCAAGATATAGTTACTGCCTCACTACCTTTTATACGACAAAAATTTGCCATAAATTCTAATTCATTCAAAACAATCATATTTAAAGTGATTAGATTTTTTCAACAAGTATTATGATAGATCAGTTCTCTGACAATATACCAAAGGGAATACCTTCCAATTATTGAAAGAAGTCTCATTAGTTGCAGTTTTTTAGTGTTTACTTTGAGTGACTGCTGTTAAGTGCAAGCCTAATTAGTACTTGAATCGTTTATCTCCTATGCTACATAAAGCGACGGGTGACCCAAAGTTTATCGGCTGAAGTAAAATAGCAGCTCATATTTACGCTCGCAAATTAATCATCACCCTATTACTGCAATAGCCTTTTATTGAAATTAGGTTTTTGTTTAATTAAATTTCGAAAGTGTCTGTGCAAAATACTTTTGTTGACTAAAATTAGTTAAGAAAATCAAAACATAACTTTGGCAGCGTTACCTATCATTAGACGATATAACTGTTTAATCAGAATAACTTACACACTAACAGATTTAAAACGATCCCCTGAAAGAAGGATATGACAACAAGTTGGCTGTAACAATTGTACTGTGTTTGAACTACAAAGAATAGATGAATTAAATATACATATATTTGTTGTAGCTGTTAATTCAAGTTAACTTGAAAACGAAAGTACCTTTGAAATGTTTAATTTTAGGTCTGCACGGATGACCATTAGTTTCATGATGATGATAACAGGATATCGGTGATAAGAATTTGTCTGTTAGAGCAGTTATTACAGCTGAATTTGTTATCGGCATGCTATAATAAACTGTTAGAAAAGAATATGTTTTGTAACAGAAAGTTTCTAATGGTAATGCATAAAACATGACTGATAATAATACAGCTATGCTTCTATTAGGTCAGTAATTTATTCAAAATGTTTTCTTGATGTAAAAAATAAGTGTTTAATTACACCGATAACGCAATTAGACCAGTCAATAAGAAGTGTTTTTTAACTACAGACAAAGGTGTCATGTAATTTCGGTAACATAGAAGAAAACACTTAATTTTTCAACAGTACTCTCTTGGTAGAGTTAGGATTAGAGCCATAAAATTGGGATTTAGGAATTAGAAATTCTAACTTAGAGTTATTGACAAAATATGCAGAGGTGTCATTGAAAGGGACTAGTATTTAGGGTACAGTACTAAAGGCTAAAGTTTAAAAAATCATACTAATTTAGGAACATAACTTATGCACTGTTATAAAGAATAATTTCACGATAGATATCAGTTATGCAAACTAAATACTAAAGTCGATAAGGTAACTGCATTTCAATGAAGAAAATGCATTAAGCCTAAAAGTGATATCATTAGAAATACATACATTTGTGTAATTTCAGGATTAAGTTTTCAAGCACAATTATATTACGAACTATAGTGTTATGCAAAATTAAAAGGTATAAGAAAATGGTTAAACTCACTGGAATCATCAACACTGAACTGTAAATGTTCTGTAGCTTCTATACCGACAGGCACACTGTCTGACAAAAATCTCCCGTACTTGGGATCGATAATCCGCTGTAGATAGTAAACCAGATTTTAAAAACGGATTAATCTGAATTCTAGTTATAGGGGCTAATGCTAATATTTTTAATCAATGAAGGCGAACAGTGATTCCAAAATCAGTTATTTTCTGTTTGAATTTAGGGAAATATTTTATATATAACTGCGGTAAATTATGCACCTCACATACTCTAACAATTAACTAAACACCTATGCATAAGAACTTAAAGGCAAGACAAGAAGTCACGATCGTGACTTCAAGATAAATAAAAGAAATGTAACTCTTAGAAAACCAACAAATACTCAAAGAATAGTTAGCAAGGCTATCCCTTTCGTCTTTTAGATGTTTATTGGTACATCGCGTGTTTGAATAATCGAAGACTGAATAACGGATGAATAAAAATGGCAGAACACAAAGATGCATCAATTCAGAAGAGAAGATAAAGAATATTAATGTCATACACATACATAAGTGCGAAGATCAGTAAACCTTTTCGGGATGTATAATATGACAAGAAGTGAATTTACCTCGGTCTCTGTGACAAGCTTTCAGTTATAACAGCAGCGTACCAATCACAATAACTGATAACTCTTCACAATGAATTGACGTACACAATGCAATTCATTCTGTAAAATATAGACACCAATAAGAAGCTGTGGCATATTTCTGCGGTGTGTCATCTATTCTTTATAGCTACCTTAACAATTAATGATGTAGGATATAGCAACATCAAGAGATTTAAGAGTGGGATAATTTCAGTAGGACTAGGGTAAAATGCCGATTAAAAAATCTGCCTGAACGTCAACAGCAGCGGTGAGGAAGCACACTTTTTTGTATTTATGACTCACTTATATTAGTTGAGTGAATGCATAGTAATTATAATTACTTAGGGTCATTGTCCCACGTTAGTCTGTGCGCCCGAAAAAAATGCTAGCTGGGTAATGCCGACTGGTCAGCTACAACTGCGTTGCGTTTTGAAATTCTGTGTTGTGAAACCATAGCTATAAAAAAAGACGGAATCATTATACAGAAGGACTTAGACCCCATTCCCCTATTCCTATAATAATAAGGATATCAATTTGACGCCTATGATTATACGAAGACAATACAACTGTACTAACACACTCAATACGACATTGACTGCCGATCATAGCGACTCCAAATGTATAAATCTACGGTAACTGCAAGATTTAGACTCTTCGGTGAGTCCGAAGTAGACTAACATAAGAGAACCATGTTACCTGTTGGGTGACCTTGAAACAATACGTGAAAAAAATCAGATATTTTCAGCAAACATATTGTCTCACCTTGCCTAAGTTAACAGTGATAATACGTTCACCAACTTCATCAACCATGGATTACTCTAGGCTAATCCATCTCACGCATAGATTACAGGGACACAACAGGATGGTAAACGGCCTTATAAATTGAACAACCCTCTCATTCAACATCCAATCCGGAATATTTGTTTCTCATTTTTTCATATTATGCAACACTTAAAGCCCAAAAGATGTTTCCAGCAGCTCAACGTTTCACCTACTGTGTTATTTGGGTATATTTTTAAGGGTCACGGATTTCTTCAGAGTGTGTGGTGAAATTTCCTGGAAGATGTGTGATCTGATGGCGAGAATGTAGGTAAAGAATTAGAAATAAACGGAAAAATTAAACAAGACATGAATGATAATTCACGCCAAATTGTAAATGGACGTGGAGGTGGTCTGCACGTAAAGCCATCGCAGTATGTTTGTGGCAAAAATGGATCCATGAGTCCTCTAAATTACGGTTGTATTAGGATCTGATACTAGATGCCCTTAATAATAATAATTTGCTTTATTCCAAAACAGTACTTGTGATACAGAATGGAATTCTCAGCATTTTTACTACAGTATTGCATCCAGTTAGTACATTATCAATAAATAGAATTCTACATAGATTAAGGAAATCTCAGTTCATTATGACAACAACATATTGACATGTAGGTAGCAAAGCCAAAGCTGAACAGTGTTTGAAGGTGTTAGAAAAGTATGTGCTGTCTTATATACTGGCGTAAGCGAGAGAAAGAAACAAAGCAGCACATAACGGAGAGAAAAAAGAGAGAGAATAGGAAACGAAAGAAATAAAACGTTGTACCTATAAATGATAGGAGTTGGAGAAGACGAGGTCCAGTTGTACTACTGACTATTTAATGAATTATAGGTGTCACGCCTAATGCTTTCTTTATCACACAGAACACGAGCTAAGTGGGGTATGGTTGAGTTTTTGTACTTGCTGGTGCGAGCATATAGTTTTCTATATTGGCTTCTGGTTTTACCTGATGAGATGCAGGGGGAGAGTTGTGAGTGAAGAGGGTGGTGTGAGTTAGATAAAATAGATTTGGCCCATTTTTCACATGAGTCCATGTGCCTGTCGACCAAAATATTAACAAGCTGGTTAAGTGGCACGTTGCTTACCCTGCTGACTACCTTTAACATCCTGCGTAATATGTTATAGACTTTCTTCAGTAGCCCGGGAAAAACTAAGGGGGAACAGTAGAGAATAATAGGCAGAATGCGAGAATTAACGAATTGTAGGAGTAAGGGTTAGGTTATACCAGAATGTTTTAGCTTCTTGATGTAGAAGGTAAGACGGAATATTTTCTTAGAAATCGCTAAGATATGAGACGACCAGGAGAGATCAGCTAGGTATTTAACTTCCGATTTGGTTTCTATTTCAGTGCCGTCGATGTTGCATACCTCGTAAGAGCCAAACAGTTTGTTTAGGTCGGATTTATGCCTAAAGGTGAAATTGACTGTTTGGCATTTGGAGGGGTTTAGGGTAAGACCGTTTTCCTTGGATCACTGTGTGGCGGCCTAAAAACATATCAAATTATATGTTCACGGAAAAATAAGGAATTCAATCTTGAACCTTGAACCGCGCGCAAAGAGGAAATCGGTTGCTCTCTCTCCGGCGGCCCGCTCAGCACATCTGCCGACCAACTCTGTCTCACACTGGTTGACATATCCCCATCAAGAGCTTTGCTCCCATCTGCTTTACTCTACGCGGAGACTTCCGACGGTTGACAGCTCTAAAGTGTAGTGGAGGATTCGTATAATCAAGAAAAGGACAATTACATTCCTATAATTTCGTACGTCTATAATTTGTGTATTTTGTGACTATTATAGTTTTTCTTCAAATAACCTCAGTCCTTTTTGTGTATATTAACTTAAGTGAACTGAATATCTTATATATACGTATTTGGTAGTGCCTGTTCTGTCCTTTTAATTGTGTGTATATACTTACCTAGCTGCTAGGTCCACTACAACTGGCTGATTTCTGACAGAAAGCCATTAGGTTTGGAGCAGTCGCTTTGACATTTGACAGACAAATATACAGTAAGGTCGTCAGCATATTTGACAAAATTAATGTCATTTGAAGATGGTAAGTCATGTAGAAAGAAAGAAAAGAGAAGTGGGGAGAGTACAGCACGTTGAGGGACTCCGGCTTCAGTGAGTACAGCAGAGGATGATTTACCTTTGTATACGGTGTACTGCATTCTGTTTGAGAAGTAGGAATGCAACCAGTTAGTGACCCAAGACTCAGTTTTCGTCAAAGAGAGCTTATTTAGCAGGAGACATCTAGGTACGGAGTCGAAAGCAGAAGTGAAGTCGAGAAACGTGCAGTGGACGTCTTTGGCACCTTTATCTTGTGATGAGACGATGCTGTTGTGTAAGACAGCTGCAGCGTCTAAAGTGCTCCTACCCTGTCTATAGGCAAATTGTTTGGGGTCTTCAAAGTTTTTAAGGGAGGGTTCAAGTTTAAGAAGTATTAGTTTTTCCATAAGCTTTAGTAACGGGGAGGTGATGGCAATGGGTCTGAACTTTACGTTCTTGCCGTTTCCAGATTTAGGGACAGGGACTATTTTAATGTCTTTCCAAGCATCAGGTACACTATTTTTGGAGAAAGAAGCATTTAAGATGTTGGTTAGTGGAGAACACAACGCATCTGCACATTGTTTTAGAACATATGCAGGTATGCCATCAGGGCCAAGGCTACGTGAGGGCTTGAGCGTTTTGAGACATTTTAGAACATCGAGAGTATTAAGGCCATGAAAGTTTTCAGCTACATGACAGGTAACATTAGAAGTAGTTAAAATAGAAGGACAGCGTATAGAAGACTGATTAAGAGCATTAACATCATAAGAGGGAAAGGCATTATAACGCTTACTGTTGCCAGTAATTTCATTAAAAAGTTTCCACTTACTGATAGGAGATTTGCATGATAGAAGTGTATCATCATAGATAGCATTAAGATTTTTGATTTCAGATTTGATCTGAGCATTAGTCTTTTTGAGTCCTAACTTGTCTTTGGATTTGTATAATGTTTCTTTTTGCCTGCGAAGTTGTTTGAGATAAGGAGATGAGAAGCGGTCGAGGCGTTTGAATAGTGTTTGCTTGGGACAGCATATATCAAGGCAGAACTTAAGATAATCCGTTATATTGATAATTGTGTCATCTAATGAACTTTCATGGAATAAATCCCAGTTAGTATTTTTTAACATGCACCTTAGATTGAGTAAGTTTTCGGATGAGAAGCATCTTTGTTGTGCTTTCATAGACAGATTTGAGAAGACTTTAGTATGTGTTTTGCTGTATATTTCTGGTAGAATACGAACAATAGAGTGATCAGAGTTGAGGATCGGTGCACGTTTACTTGTTTCATATATTCCTCCGTCATTTGTAAAAACTAAATCAAGTGTTTTGTCAAGTTGAGTGGGAAATTCGACAATGTTTGAGTGACCAAGTGCTTCAAGGAAAGAGCAATTTGACGAGTTGAAGTCCCCAGTAATAACAGATAGAGAGTTATCGAAGTTGGCAGCGGCAAACATGGTGAATTCATCAGCAAAATTTGAAAGATTAGATAGTGAGCAACTTGGAGAAGTGTACATGTTTGTAATAAAAATATGTTTATATTTGGGGAGATGTTTGGGACGACATTTGACGGTGATACAGTCTATGAAGTCATTTGAGAATGAGAAGCAAACATTATTAGAAATAGACCATTTAGAGTGGATAAAAGTGGCAACGCCCCCATTTTTCTTTTTACAACATTGTCGGTCTTGTCTAAATAGGATGAAGTCCTTTAGTGAGATGAGACTGTAATCATACAGTTCATGTAACCATGTTTCCTGTAATGTGATTATCGCAGTATTGTGATAGGTGTCAGTGGACATCAAGGATTGTAGGTACATTATCTTGTTTGGCAGAGAGTGGCACTTAGTGTTCATTATGACAGGGGCCGTAGTTAAGTGTTTCCAACCACTACGATGCTTCCTCCTTGATTTCGTGGGAATATGAAAGTCATTGGGTCGTAAATGATTAATAAAGTTTCGAGAGTAAATGATCCTTCTAGAATTCATATTTGGGTGTTAAATAAATGGATTAAATGGTAGGTTGGATGCAATATGTAGATGTTATAGTAGCAGGCCCAAAAATTCAAACAGTGATGGTTTACTTGTGTACATGATAAAGGTTCATGGTCAAGTAAATCAGTCACTTGGTAAAATCTTCTTACACACTGTATAGTTCGTTGCCTGTTGACTTATTGTTAAGCGAAGATATTTATGAATTTTATTCATTTTTAGAAATTTTACTCTCAGTGATCTATTCATATGTCTTCACAAAAAGATATAATACAACAACGACATCACGGAATGCTGTTCACCTAAATGAATAGGTGCTTGCTGGTCAAATGTTGAGTTCTGTGTTCTAATAATCTCTCAGTGCTCCTTAATGTGGTTGCATCCTGCAAGTATTATATGTTATGTTCTCCATTAATTGGATGGGAGCCATTAGGGATAGTCACCAGGCTAAGGTTAATGTTAACCATATATGACCACGTGGCAGGTCAAGCAGGACACTTCACCACGCAGCATGAGAGAGGAAATTTCTGATTGAGATTAGAGTCACTTTAGTAATGTTACTAATGTCACTCATAAGCTTGGCACTCATTTTGTTTAGGAACAACTTACCTAGAAATATATCCAATGTTTCACAGAATCAAACTATTATGGTGTCCTTGTCATACCAAAATGTTTTGGGTCTTAGTTAAACAAGTACCTCTCTGAAACTGATTTGCAAGGAAATCAAAGTTGTGCATACCCAGACATACTACTTCCTGAACAACAAATATACGACTGCCATAACACCTGGCGTATCATACCAAATAAACTGACTTGACGAACCTGCTATCAGCTTTTTTCGGATGCCTCCAGATAGTTCAACATTTTACTAGTCAATATATTATTTTTTATATTTCTCTACAAGTGCTGCTAGCATCGAGACGAAAAAAGTGCGATCATCAGACTAACAAATCATCAGCCGTCACAATTTCGGCGCCATTTCATGGAAACGCAGTTTCCATAGACATTCATGTTTCAATTATCAAGTTACAACTTACACATATTTAAAACTCTAGA